CATTTTAAGGAAGCTTTGTGTATTAATTATATTATATATATTTATAATTAATTTGTAATTAAATTTGAGAGAACATTGAATTAAAATGCAATATAACTGCATTTATTTTTTTCATAACAGATAACAGATAATTAACCTTTTTTTGTTGTTTTTGTCTATGATACCTGGACGCCACTCACTGAATAAACATACAAATTGATGAGTTCATATAACAAAAATGTTGCATATTTAAAAAAAATAAAAAATCATCATTGCTGGGGGTTTTTTTTATATAGTATGCAACGGTGTACACTGCACAGTGTGCATGCAAGAGTTCCATTCCAAACATAGTTTTTTTCCACACTTCATTTTAAGCTGTCAAGTGTGAATAAATAATCTCAAGATAACTCTGTTGGTAGCTCTGCTTCAAAGGCCATGCTTGTTAAAATTTGCTTTTTTTTAATTATTTACTAAAAAAAGACTTGAGATTCATCATGATGTTTTAAACAAAAATGTACGTAACCAAGACACCTTGTTTTTGAATATGCATAGGCCTAATTCAGATAAACACCATCCAAGGTTTTTTTTTTTATGTGGGCAGATTAAATTAAAGAGTTCAGTGTATCATACAGCTCTGGCCAAGTTACAATAAAATGTAGGTCTGGGGCACAAATGACATGAGAATGATCAAAGACAGTATTTTATGCAGCGACTTTTGAATTAACACCAGCTTAGCGAATGCATGAGTGCAGGTACGCAGTTTGTCAGTATAAAATGATGCTGTGCCAGATGAAAGGCAGAACCTGGCTTAGTTCTCAGTGTGGCCTGCAGCTCTGACTTTTTAACAGGAGAAAATCCCTCTGTTGCCTCATAGCCTTTTAATTCTCTGAAAAGAAAAACAGACAGAATATACAACTGCCATATGTTTTTCTCATTCCTTCCTGCAAGATCCTTTCCATCATTCCATTTTCTGGGCTGTGAGATGTGCTCATATGTCTTTTTACCGTAGTGCAATTACAGTTTGTTTGCATGGAAATAAACACATCAACACCTCCTAATATAGCGAAGGTCATAAAGCTGCCTGACACTGTCACATGTACTGCAGTCACAATGATAATAATATTAAACACTTAATTTGATTATGTGCATATTATTTTTTACAAATTAGACTTGCGGAAATTGTAACCTGCTAGTTAGGTCACCTGTGAATTGATGGTTTTTTTCAGTGCCAGGTTTGAAGGTGATAAAAAAGAACCAGTTTTATGACAAGCATAATGAAGCTGTATTCTGATATTACTGTTTTCTTGTTTATCCAGAGCCTTGTCTCTGCCTCTGGCTAATTAATTTATAACCTTTTACATCTAAACATTGAAATCGGGCCTATCTGACTGATGTTATCTGGTTGCTATGCAATGTGTGCTGCGTAGCGACAGCAGTTCCGTTGCCGTGGGGTTGTCACGCACATCTGTGAGCCTGTCCTGAAATGCACACACATACCCCAGCCGCCCCACCTCATGAAGAGGCTGATCTCAGCCTCTCCGCCACCCCGGGGCTCACCGAGGGACACGCAATCTGTCCAATGTCAAAACTCATATCCTCAGTCCTGTCACTCATCCTGTAAACACACTCATACTAACTTTCAGGGTGTCTCAGTGAACTGTAATCTTCTTTTGGCATTTAGTAGTGCTTGATCTGATATACGCTTCTGTTTAAATGTGTGAAATTAGTTTTCTTGACAATTGTGAATACTTGTGCCAATGTATGACTTTTTTTTTTTTACTATATACTGTATATATGTGTATGTTTGTGTACACATGTTTGTGTACACAAACCATCATCCCCCCTAAAAATATGATTAAAAACCACACTGTGTATTGTAAATAACAATGGTTTGTATTTTAAATAATTTTGTAAGTAGTAAAACAACACAAACGGGGCAAAAATGCATTTTAAGTTTAGAAGCATTTTGAGGCTCCCCCTCCCTTGCTATGGTCCAAATGCCTGCTTTCCTCTTTTACATCACCTACACACACACACACACACACACACACACACACACAAGTCTGGTGAAGTCAATAGTTGTGGAACTCCAGTAAGTAAGGCTGTCAAGGCCATTTTATTCACTTAAACATCGGATGAAGTGATTATTTTCTCTTTAATACAGATGATGCCAATGTATTTTTCGATGCCGCCTTATGCCTAGTTCACACTGCACGATTTTCAAAGACGTCGCATCACTGTTGGTTTCACACTGAATTAAATGTGTGAAATTAGTTTTCTTGACAATTGTGAATACTTGTGCCAATGTATGACTTTTTTTTTTTTACTATATACTGTATATATGTGTATGTTTGTGTACACATGTTTGTGTACACAAACCATCATCCCCCCTAAAAATATGATTAAAAACCACACTGTGTATTGTAAATAACAATGGTTTGTATTTTAAATAATTTTGTAAGTAGTAAAACAACACAAACGGGGCAAAAATGCATTTTAAGTTTAGAAGCATTTTGAGGCTCCCCCTCCCTTGCTATGGTCCAAATGCCTGCTTTCCTCTTTTACATCACCTACACACACACACACACACACACACACACACACAA